TTATTTCTTAATGTGTCCACTCAGCAGACCAATTTATGACAAAACAAACCAACAAAAAACAGCAGGCGGAATTTTTTGGGGGGGTCTTCAGAGGTCAGAATGCTTGTAGGTTTCTACTAGCTTGGATAAAACGTTGGGACAAATCGATCAATTTGAAAAAAATTCTGCATAATGTTTTGTGAAGACTGGACCAGGAATGAAATTTCTTGCATCCCAAAATAAATTCTAAAAAATATTGAAAGCAATAACAGTAAAAGCCATTGCAATTGCTATAAAAACCTTTAGACACTGCTAGAAAGCCTTTTTCTGCTGTTAGACATTGAAAAGAAAACTCAGAGTTGCCTTCTGGTGTGAAAAAAAGGAGCACTGATAAGAAACTGATTACCCCATCTGAGTCAATGACTGACAGCTAGAAGGCAGGCGGAATGCAGCCTGAGGCCTCTAGAGGAAGTCTCACCCCCTAAGGGCTCTGAATGGCTGAAAATACAATGAATGACAGCGTTTTTTACCAATCAGATCACCTTATTTCTGGCGGTCCTGTTTCAAATATCTCTTCCAAAGCCAATAACGTTCAGTTTCCTCCAGGTCTGGAGGTGGGTTAGTCTAGCCTCTGTGGATATATAACGTGCTTCAGAATAAGGTAAAAACATGGGATATATTCTTTTTTTCTGGTTTTTGCTTTTGCGGTTACGTTTTGCTGACTTTTTGATTACCTTATCGATGCACTTTGAAAGTTTGGAAGTGCATCATCAGATAAAAAGTGTGATTGATTGCCTTGGTGTTTTCGGTTCTGAAAATGGTTTTGTAAAACTCCGGTTGTCCTTTTTTTGATTGATAACAGGTTTTGTAAAGGTTTTGTTGGTAAAAAATGATTAAATATGACGCAGGTCTCAAAAGTAAATATGGACTTACGCAATCATATTTTGCTTAAATTACCTTGGTGTTTTTCGGTTCTGAAAACTGTTTTGTGAAGCTCCAGTTGTCCCTTCTTTCGATTGATAAAAGGTTTTCTGTAAAGGTTTTGTGGTTTTGTTGATGTAACACGATGAAGTAAGATGCGCCTCTTAAGTAAATATTTA